TATCCTATCCTATCCTATCCTATCCTATCCTATCCTATCCTATCCTATCCTATCCTATCCTATCCTATCCTATCCTATCCTATCCTATCCTGAAAGACGGCAGCTGATCCAGTCTTGCTGCAAATTCAGAGTTCTTGTTCTCCAAAGTTGGCTTCTCCAAACTTAGCAACTTTAAGACTTGTGGACTCCAATTCCCAGAATTCCGCATCCAATTCTGGGAGTTGAAATCCATTAGTCAAAGTTCCCAAGTTTGGAAATTTCCTGTTCTAAAATACAGGCAGTCCTTGACTTGCAATAGTTCATTTAGTTACAACAGCATCAAAAAATTATGACCGTTCTTCACACTTTCAACATCTGTAGCATCCTGGGGTCATGTGGTCAAAATTTGGACACTTGGCAGCTGGTTCATACTTATGACGGGTGCTGTGTCGCAGGGTCACGTGATCCCTTTTTGTAACTTTCAGAGAAACAAAGTCAACGGGGGAAGCCAGATCCACTTATCAACCGTGTTACTAACTTAAAAACTGCAGTGATTCACTTAACAAGTGTGGCCAGAAAGATCGTAAAATGGGGCAAAACTCACTTAACAAATGTCTCACTTAACAACAGACATTTGGGGCTCAATTGTGGTCGTACTTCTTTCCCAATTCTGTCAAATTTAAGATTTGTGGATTTCAACTCCCAGAATTCCTAGCCAGCAAGTCTTCAGTCTTCCCTCCCCTCCTCATCTCACCCAAAATTAAATGCTACATCGGGTTACTCACTCTTTTACATCTGTTGCAGTGGTGGGTTCGGCCGAACTGGTGGTACCTTGGCGGCCTCTAGACCTGGGACTCTCTGTATAGGCCTGCTAAACTCTTATTTTGGAGTCCATCGCTGTGTCTTCTCTCCTTCTGCAGGGCTCCCTGGAGTCATAGTCCTGGTCAGCTTCCTTAGCGTGAAGAAGGCTTATTATCAGCATGATATCAACACTGGCTCTCAATACAATAATTCTTCCATGTGAGTAGCAGGGAAGCAGCTGCCTCAGCTGTGTAGTTTTAACTCCTATATGTTATACAGATGGGCCTTGATATACAAGATTGGTTTAGTGACCCCTTGAAGTTACAACAGCATTGGAAAAAAACAGCAACATAGAATGGAATGGAATAGAATAGAATAGAATAGAATAAGAAGAATGGAATGGAACGGAACGGAATAGAATAGAATAAGAAGAATGGAATGGAACAGAATGAAATAGAATGGAATGGAATAGAATAGAATAGAATAAGAAGAATGGAGTGGAATGGAATGGAATAGAATAAGAAGAGTGGAGTGGGGTGGAATGGAATGGAATAGAATAGAATAAGAAGAGTGGAGTGGAGTGGAGTGGAGTGGAATGGAATGGAACGGAATGAAATGGAACGGAATGGAACGGAATAGAATAGAATTACAGAGTTGGAAGGGACCTTGGAGGTCTTCTAATCCAGCTCCCTGCTCAAGCAGGAGAACCTGTACCATCTCAGACAAATGACTGACCTTGACTTACAACAGCTTGGTTAGTAACATTCAGTTACAACGGCACTGAAAAAAGCCACAGTTACGTCCTTTCTAGCATCCCCATGATCATGTGATCAAAATTCAGATGCTTGGCAACTGGTTCACATTTATGACAGTCACGGTATCTCAGGGTTACGTGATCTGCTTTTGAAACCTTCTGACAAGCAAAGTCAATGGAGAAGCCAGATTCACTTTCAGGATTAGGACAGATTGTAGGCAGGGAGGAACAGAGAGGCAGGATGAACATGAGAGACAGAGCAAGGACCACCTTCTCCTGATCCAAGGGCTTAGAGAATGGCGAGAAGGTGTGAGCAGCGCAGACTGAGCAGGCTACTTGGGAGAAGAGGGCTCTGTGCATTTTCACAAGGCACACCTGGAGACTGAGACTTAAGGAGACACTATGGGGAGGGGCATTTGTTGGGAACAAACACTGAGTTCCTGAAGTGTTGAGTGCCGACGTTTGAACTTTCCAAGAGTCCTTGCATTCCTTCTGGCATTCTGGACTAATTACCTGCATTGTTTGCTTCCTGAACTCCTTGATTTGACAAATAAATTTGGATTTATTGCTGTGCATCCTTGTTGGGCTGGACTAATTGCAGCTAGAGGCTGCCTGAGGTTTGTGGCGGGGTGGTGGTGGTGGTGTTGTTATCACTCTGTTCTGGGAATTGCCAGAAACATGGGAGCGTTTGGGGTAATTTGGAGGAATAAAGGGGCGGTTTGAACTGCCAGATCTTTGTGTTATCCCTGTGCTGTGTCCTGGGTCATCACACCTTGGCTTCTGATGGGTTGACACAGACTTTTCTTGGTCTCTCTTGGAAACATAAAGGAGCCTCTGATCTTTGCGTTTTCTTCTCTTCCAGATGCTGGATCACCTCCCCCACCTTGAGCCATATCACCCTTGCTTATGTTGGTGGCACCGTGTTATTCAACATGGTTATCTTGGTGTTGGTGGTGCAGAAGCTTAGACAGCTCAGAGCTCACCCCCTTCGTCGGCCTCAGGAACATACCTGCAAAGATGTGGGAACCGTTCTTGGAATGACCTTCCTCCTGGGGACCACCTGGATATTGCTCTTCATGTCCTTTGGGGTCTTCTTAGTTCCACAGATCTTCCTCTTTACAATCTTCAACAGCCTCCAAGGTTTGTAAGATGGCTGAGACCCTATACCCCCCCACCCAGGGATGGGATAACTTGCCATGGCCAACTCACCATGGCCAACTCACCATGGCCAACTCACTGCAGCCAACTCACCATGGCCAAGTAGCCATGGCCAACTCACTGCAGCCAACTCACCATGGCCAAGTAGCCATGGCCAACTCACTGCAGCCAACTCACCATGGCCAACTAGTCATGGTCAAGAGGAGGAGAACACTGTAACTACCCTTAGTTAAGCTTTTGGTGACTGGTTGCTATGATACTATGATCAATTCTCTTATGTCTCTTTTGTAGTACTCGTGTTTTGGTCTGTGACCGTAAATAAAGTATATATAACTCACTGCAGCCAACTCACCATGGCCAACTAGTCATGGTCAAGAGGAGGAGAACACTGTAACTACCCTTAGTTAAGCTTTTGGTGACTGGTTGCTATGATAC